TACAGCAAGGCAATTCAGAGAGAATTGGATATCCTACCGAGATTCATCATAGGCGGCCACAATCTTACCAACATAAGATACGCAGGCGACACAGTACTGATAGCAGACACGGAAAAAAAGCTACAAAACCTCCTACAGAAGGTAGAGTGTGAGAGAGAAAGGAAGGGACTATCCATAAACTACAAGAAGACAGAATATATGGTCATTAGTTTTTACTAATGACCATGTATTCTGTCTTCTTGTAGTTTATGGATGAACCCGAAATGCGATTTGCAGGTCGGGGAGACTAAAATCAAGCATGCGTGGAAGTTTAAATATCTGTGAAATGTTTTGACGGAGGACGGTAGGTGCGAGGCTGAGATCCAAAGACGGATTGGGATGGCCAAGGATGCGTTCCAAAAGCTGGACAGAGTACTACGAGACAAGAGGATTTCTTTGGTGACAAAGAAAAGAGTGCTGAACTGCTACGTGACATATGACCTCCTATACGGCAGTGAATGTTGGACGGTCTCCTCAAAGATGAAGACTCGTAGCAGCGAAGATGTGGCTCTACAGAAGGATGCTAAGGATATCGTGTAGCAAGTGTATGAGCAAGGATGAGGTCTTGGAGAGGATGCAACCAAGGAGGAAGCTTATACTTAACACAAGGAAGAGGCAGATAAAATTTCTGGGACACGTAATGAGAAAGGAGAGTCTGAAGAATCTGATACTCATAGGTCGAATAGAGGGGAAAAGAGACAAGGGAAAGCAACACGTGACATACCTGGCGGACTTAAGGAAGCGGATAGCAGAATGTGATCTGGGGGAGTTGGCAGAGGCACGAGACTTATTGTGAGCTACAAGGGATAGAGGGAAGTGCATAGCCATGCTCCCCTACGTCCTGAACGGACACGGTGCATAAAAAGAAAGAAGCTATCGGGTATTACAATCTTGCATCAGCACCTTGCTTATTGCACTAATGAGTGTGGGCTAATGGATAACAACACCAGCGTAACCGTGGCCGTGAGAAATGGGCATTTTTTTTCTTTAACTCCTATGTATGCGTATGGGATCCCTACATTAAAAACAATGTCACATCCCACTACCGTGTGGAGGCGACTAAATACAGGGATCAAAATGTAGTTCCTGTTCTCTTCCTTTATTGTTATATGATATGCCTAGTCCTGGAGATTTATTCCTTGCGTTTCCTCAATACACTAAAGAGAGCAAGTTGGTGGATACCGTCACAAGTGTAACTGTAGTCGTAGAGAACCTGTGTCACATCCTGTCACCGTAGGGAGCTGGTCAAATAACAATTACAACTCTGCGGCAGCAGCCTTCTAAAATAGAAGGCACTGAAAAGGAAGTCTAGGGACAACTGATGTCAACGTGACAGTGGTTGCTGTGATAAAGTAATTTGGGACTTCTATGTACGCGCATGAGCACCCCACATAAAACTGACCTTGTGTCACATCATACTACTGCGAGGAGGTGGGTAAATTCCCCCTCTTTCCTTCCTATTCTCCATTAACCTTTCTCTCTGACACTTCTCTTCCCCGCCTTATTACTTGTCTCCATGCCTCCCTCTTTGTCTCTCTTTTTGTATTCGACTCAGCCGCGTGAATTTCATAAAGTCAGCTGGTCGAAACAATCACGGAAAATGACACGCGAAGAGCAACTTGTAAAATATTGCAGGCCTCCCGTCAGGAGAAATGGGGATAGGGCAGCTACTGGTCAAGTTCTGAGCGGACAGGAGATGACGGAAACAATCATTTATTTCCAGCCATCTGTACATTTATAAAGAAAAGGGAAATTGCACTTTTATTCATAGATTGCGAGACAAGAGCCAACTAAAACAGCTCACTAAAGAAATTCATTAATCAGACTTAAATTAATATTTGTTATAATACAATTTTCAAGTCCAATAAGATTTTATAACAATGCAAGATAAGTAATGTCACCTGTATTTTTGCACCTGGAAATTTCAAGCGTCAAGAAGGTAATTTTTAGCACTAGTTTACAACAGAAATGTTCTCAGATGAAAGAACTAATGCAGCCCTTTTGGTGAACTACACGGCAACTGGTTGTTTTTCTTTTCCTCGCGAGCAAATATTGGGAAGTATTAAATTGAACATGTTGTTTTCAAGATTGATTGATTCGTGTTTTACCCTCAAACAATTTCTCAACCCTTTGCAAGACAAAAAATTTCTTAGATTGTAAGAATTTTTTTGAGATAATAATGATTTAGTGATACGTTTTACTAATTAACCTATAGCTGAGGGAAGAAAGGATGGGTTCATACATTTCCTACTGGTGTTTGCTAATAAGTGAATTTCACGAACCCAACTGTAACTGAAACTCGTCTCTCCGATTAACAAATCGGAGCCATTATCCATTACCTCATGTGCAAGTCAAAGGTTACAGCACTTGGTATCACCTGCTGTCAGCCATCTACATAGTGAACAAGCTTAACGTTGCTTAACTTCGGTGATCGTACGGGAACAATGTTTCAATATAAGCCTGTTGGCTTCAAGGTTCCTACAAGCGTATCAGTTACAATCAGAGACGAACATACTTTTGAAGGAGGGACTCCTCTTTTATGATGGAATTTACAGCTTACCTGCAAAATGGTGTAAGTTTCATAGGAAGCTAGAGAAAACATATCATGATTGATTAATAACACTTATATGAATGAAAGAAATTATCAAAAAATGCTGGATGTTCGTATTGGGGCTTCCGGCGCGAATGCCAAGCAGAGCAGCATGCTGTGTCCAAATTTCTGCTGGAGTTATTTGCGACATGGTGCTATTTTTCTCATGGACGATACCCAACTAACCCTGCTACACTGTGAAGCCGACTAAATCAAAGACAAACAACGCGCATGCGCGAAAGGAAAAAAATAAAATGGCGACAATTTACCCATCGGACTCTGTAAATACGAAGTTGGGTCTAAAAGTAATTAATTTTTTTCATAGTAGGCGCACTTGTCAATGAAATTATTCGAAATTTGGTACAGATTTAAAGGTACGTACACTCTTGAACATTAATTATCTAATATTTTGTTTTTCAGATATATGAACATGAGGTGATATGAAAATGGCTGCCTTGCCGGAAGTCTGCCAGAAGCAAGAGCAGTAACCTAATTCTTTTTTTTTTTTGCCAAAGGAGAAACTCCTGTAAACATTCACAAACGGCTTAAAAAACGTATACAGATATAAAGCTTTTGACATTATGGTGGATTATATTGAATTAATTGCTTGGTCTGTTGCTAAAAAGGTTGGTTCACTATGTCGTGGCACACAATTTTTCCCATCTTGTACGTTTATATATCTACCATTCGTCCGCGCATTGAATATTGCTACCATATCTGGTCTAGTGTCACTACTATATATCTTGAGATTCTCAAAATAAACCAAAGAACGGTCTGTAATGTAATCACGACTTTAGACACGTTCCCGCCACCGTGGCGTGGCGTCCATCAGACTTTGATATAAATGTTTTCATGACAGTTGTTCTACCGAGATCTCCTCTCTGGGCATTGACTGTTCGAATTTAAGCGTACTATTAGATTGGCAACTAGGTCTTATCGTTTTACTGTTGAACTAGATAGACACAACCATAAGTTCTATTCCCGTAGTTTCTTTTCGCGCACTTCTCACCTGTGGAATTATCTTCCAGTTTCTTGTTTCTCTGCCCCCCAAAATAAAATTAAAGGGCAACGTCAATGTCCATCTTCTGTCTTCCCGTATCCTATTCGTTTATTGTCCTTTCTCCTCGCTATAGTCTTCTCTTTCATTCTTTGTAACCCCTTGCGTCTTAGTGGCATTATTGCCTTGCTTGGGATGTAATAATTAAAACAAAATAGCAAGTATAAGAAGCACAATATAAGTGTTGCATAGGGGAAATTACATACTATTTTCGATCATCGAAACCATTTGATACACTGCGTGTCTGCCCACGATGTTTTTATGTGATTTGTCATACAATTTTCTGGCAGCACGGCTAAAACACATTTTCCAACGCATAACTGTGATCATATCCTTTGTTTGGTTGTTATTTTAAAATGCCCGCCAGTGTTTAATCAATTTTCCGTTGATTTGAACTTTTTATTGTTTGGACGTGACAGGAAATATAAATATCAGTATTCAACTTAAAATAAGGTGAAAATAATGTTCGGCATTTTTTTAAAAATTCTTCTCTCTATTATCTTAATTTTCTCTTTTTTCATTTTTTTTTTTTATAAATTGGCTTGCTTTAGAAGACACTTACTCTTTATCACTTTGATTCATCGGCACTTTCTGTTTATTGGTGCACTACCAGATTAATGTTTATGCACTTCTCCTTCCGAGGTTTGCCAAATTTGTCTTTAAAAACTTCCTTCTGGCTAATAAATGTCGCCACAAATCACTCCTTTACGTTTCTTCATATCGACATCAGTTTCTCTCTTTAAGGGGCCACCTGCCTCTTGACTTGGGAAATTAACTACATATTACGTGGACATTGCTACTGTTGACTTGTAACTAATCTCTGGATTATAAACAAAATCTCGATTCAAGATGTTCTTTCAGCAAGTGAAATCATTGGAAACTCCTTAATAACAATGACGCATAAATCATGACTGATCCAGGTTCAGCGCCGGAGATCATAAAATTTGAAGTGAAGGGAAAAATGAGATGTTAATGATAATGAATAATAATGAACAAGAATTACTAGCGTATCAGCTAAAGCCGACGGCGAAGATAACAGGCCAATGAATTCAAAATTAGGATGGGTCAAGTGAAGAAAAACGTAGAACGATAAAGAAAAGAAAGAGTCAATTTATGTGTCTACGAGAGTGGAGATTTGTGTTTGAGATTTGTGAGGACGTGAAATATAACAGAAAATGGAAAACAAGAGAATAAAAGAAAGAAAAGCTTATTAAAATAAATAAGATTTTTTTTTAATATGAAAGGATATAAACAGAGAAAAAGAGAAGAAAGAAAAGTCAAAGGAGATCAAATAAAACAGAAAGCGAACGGCACCAAAAACAAAAAGGAATGAAGGTAATAAGAGAATATGAAGGAAAATGAAAGAAAGGAGAAGAAAGAAAGAAAGAAAGAAAGAAAGAAAGAAAGAAAGAAAGAATAAATGGAAAAGAAAGAAATAAGAAATAAATAGAAAAGAAAGAAATAAAGAATAAATTGAGAAGAAAGAAGGAGAAGTAAAGAATAAATGAAAAAGAAAGAAAGAAAGAAAGAATAAATGGAAAAGAAATAAATAAAAAAGAAATGGAAAAGAAAGAAAGAAAGAAAGAAAGAAAGAAAGAATAAATTGAGAAGAAAGAAGGAGAAGTAAAGAACAAATGAAGAAGAAAGAAAGAAAGAAAGAAAGAAAGAAAGAAAGAAAGAAAGAAAGAAAGAAAGAATAAATGGAGAAGAGAGAAATAAAGGAGAAATGGAGAAGAAAGAAAGAAATAATAAATGGAGAAGAAAGAAAGAAAGAAAGAAAGAAAGAAGAAATAAATAAATAAAGTAAGAAAGAAAGAAAGAAAGAAAGAAAGAAAGAAAGAAAGAAAGAAAGAAAGAAAGAAGACTTATGGAAAAAAAAGAGAAAATAAGAAAGAAAAATTAAATATAATAAAAAGGAAAAGTAGTCAAATCGAAAAAGAAGGAAAATAAGCATAAGTAAAATATAGAAAAGCAGAAAGAAATAAAATGTAGGAAAGATCGAAAAAAAGGACACAGGAATATAGAAAGACCGAATGAAAGAAAGAAAGCAAAAAGAGAAAAAAGAAAGACGAGAAGGAAGAGAGCTTTGGCAAATATGTGTTTGTTGACGGGTATTTCTTTTATTTTTTTTAACATGTGGTGTAAAAGACTTGGTAAAACTTGATTACTTCCTCTATAAAGTCACACTTTCTCATATTTATTACTGATTGGTGATATTCCTTTAAAGCTACGTGACAATTTAAAGAAGCAATCTATTTCCTGTATAAGTTTGGCTGCAACCGTTTTATCCCAGGTTGCATGTTTTTAAAAGATAAGATGCTCAGATCAGTGGAAAGCAAAAAAGAAAATATTTCAAAAATGCATTTTTAAACAAGAGTTCACTTACTTTCATTGGTTAAATACAGGAATCTGTTTTTTGCGTTTGTGATGGGATGTGTTTGTGTAATGAAATTAAAGAGGTGAGATTTTAAAATACTGTGGCTTTTAAGGTTTGAGATGTAAGGAAAAAATGTTAAAAGAGGAAGAAATCGATCACTTGCTTGAATGCGTGTGAATAAAAGCGGTAAAGCTAGGAATATATTAGTGCGAATAATACTTGGTGGATAAGATAAATAGAGATAAATAAGTGAAAAATCGGGAAATAATTACGAAGAAGGAAAATTTAAAGAGGATATACGAAATTAAGGTAAGACATGAATGAGGGGAAGAGAGAAAGAGTAATTTGCAAGTAAATAATAGAAGGAAAAGCAAAAAGAAAGATAAGATAATGAAGTAATCACGATCATTATTTAAAAATAATCCTGAATAAAAATTGCAAACTATGACGAATATAAAAAAGAAAGAAAGAAAAATAGGAAAGCAAAAAGATGCTTAAAATGAATGCAAAAGATGATTATAATAAAATAAGAAAAGATCCCGGATTAAGAAAGAAGGAATGATAAACGGAAAAGAAAAAAAAAGATGAGATAAATAACGGAAATAGATAATTATTTAAAACTACGAAAAGAATTTATGAGTAAAAATTGAAATCGAAGTTGAGTATAACGGAAGGAAGAATAAAGAAAAGAAGGAACTATAAACAAAGAAAAAAATGAGATACAAAAAAATAAAAAAAAAGATGGTAATTATAAAATAAGAACAGGTCTTGTATAAAAGAAGAAAACAAAAATGAATATAAAAGAATGAAAGAAAATTTTTAAAAATCTAAAAAGAAGAAAATGATAAAAAAAACATCATTTAAAAATACGTTTTCGTATTTTTAAATGATGTTTTTTTATCATTTTTGATCAATAGAAAAGGAAAATAAATAAAAGAGAAGAAAAGATAGAAAACAAAAAAAAATATTAGAACAGCAATTAAAAAAGAGAACTATGATGAAAACGAATAAAAAAGGAATCAACTAGACGTGAGAAAAAAAAGTGAAGTTAAGAAAAAAAATCGACAAATAATCAGGATGTATGCTCGAACTTCACTTCCGTAATAATCGCAAAGGAGCTTAATCCTTTTTCTTCGTCACCCGTTCCGAGTCATGTCTTCTTATCTTGAACCCCTGCTTCTCATATCATTTATGTTCTTAACGCGTGTCATACATTTAATGTCTTTATCGGATTCTAAACAGTCGTTCTATTCGTATTATCTACAACAGAAACTAGGCTTCTACAGCACGAACTTCTACTTGATTGATTTGTTTTTTACGACTTATCAACCCATTGTGGGTTATTTAAAGCCGAAACCTATTTTAGATTATAAGAATATTTTTTTGCAGGGCTGAGGATCAAGTGCATATTATATCAACAAATTTCGGTGATAACAATGATTTTCCAGATACTCTTGTATTTTTAATACATGTCGTGATGGGGAGATGGATTCTTTTCTTGCGAAGTTAGTGTGACGAACTCGACTTGAATTCGAACTCGTCTCTCCGATTTCTCCTTCCCAGCCGCTATTCATTTCACCACCATTTCTTTTAGAATCTCTGCATTTGACACCATTATATGAACCCAAATGAACCCAAAAGTTCTGCTGAATATTAATTTTGGAATTAATCAACTCGAATTTATCACGCTACGGAAGGCATTTACTGATGTTTATTAAAAGATTATCGACTTTTTTCAATGATTCTTCTTCATTGAGTTGTCAATCAAATGATCAATTCGTTGCCGATGGGATTATTGATTTAAGTGAAATATTTAAAAATGAAAGTTGGAATCTATATAAATAAAGCGTAGTGTACGTGTGTCCGTCCGTTCGTTTTTCCATCTCGGCTAATCATAAACAAGCTGAAGTAACAGGTAACAACTATCGTAGTTACACGCGATTGAACATTTAATAAATAAATTTAAAGTTAAATTTAAATATCGAACAGAGTAAAGGGTTTTAAAAAAACTATTCTTTATTAAAGGTTTAACGTTAATTTCGCTTTTAGTCGCAATTGCAATTGATATTGTCTAACTAAACCGGAATTGAAACTTAAGCGGGGCATGGCACGTTGCTCATGTTTTTTTCTTTTACTATCTCGCGTACTGTAATGTATTCGTAATATCACATAGTTCAGGTTCTGTAATGTCTTTTAAGAATGACTTATGTGAAAGGATGATAAAAATGGTGATTTTAAAATAAAATAAAAATTATGCGCAAAATAAATATAAACAAACTACAGTGATCGGTTACGTGTACGAAGAAAGATTATGCCGAATTAAGGTGTTTAATAAAGATAAACTAAGTTTAGTATTTCCAAGTACTTATAACTTTTACTTACTTAGATAGGACGCTAAAGGTAAACGGCGGAAGAGCCAAAAAACCTCTGAAGAAGCTAGACTAAATTCCGCCCGAAGAGCGGCTTCTAGGCTAGCTTCTGCTCAAAAAAGCTCCGATTGATTGGTTGATTTTGTTTAGCTGCATTTCCTCTATGAGTTATTTAATGCTGAAATCTAAATATTTTGTTTTTAATTTTATAGAAGTTAGGTGTTTACATATATACAGGGTGATTGAAAATTAGCTCTCCATTTTATGAATGATGGACTCTCTCTTCTAACTATAATTTTTACAAGATGGGAGACTTCAACATACATAAAATAGGAAGTTACTTTTCAATCGCCCTGTATTTTGTAGATCATACATTTTATTGCAGCTAATTTCACTAAAATAATGTATTATTGTAAATTTCATTTATAAAAAAAACGGTATTGCTTGTATTTTTTTATAATTTTTTAGTGTTTTGTTTTTGATTGTCATTTTGCTATAAAATGTATTGTTCGTCATTTTACTAAGAAAATGACCTGTTGATTTTTGGCGAAGCCTCGGGTGGGGAGGGTTCTAACAGATGCTACCACCCAGAGTTATGATGGCCGTGAACACAACAGCAGCTAAGACTCAAAACCCCAGAAGTCTTGATGACGGGTGTCATACCTAGGACAATAAAAGCTACGAGAAACCAAGATAGTTTCCTTTCTATACAGAATCTATACTTTCTCTTTTTTCTAAAGCCATTATGTAATATCAAATATATTTTAAGAGGATACTTATTCCCTGAAATCCCTAGATGATACAACCCCCCCAGCGTCACTAAACATGCTCGGGTCAAGAAGACTCAAAAGATAGAAGTGGTTTCAGTTTGATGAAGATAATAGCATAATCTTCGAGGCGACGGCCAAGAATAAGGTTAATCGACGTCTCCAGGCAATAACAACCATTATCATCAATCTAATGGCTGATAGGTACGAGCTGACGGGAAAAGACAGCAGTAATGGGGCCTTTAAACCATGAACCAAGGCGCGAGTATGATCCACCGTCCCAGGTAGTAGCAGAAGAGTCTGAAGAGGCAGTTCAGGGAGAAAAGCATCAGGGAGGAGGTTTTTCTGCTACAAGAAAATCATAATCTTGAGGAATGCCCTCTGGCATGGAAAACAGACGAAAGAGTGAACCAGGAAACTACCTTCATTTGTAGAAAAATCATAGGGGTTTGCAAAACAGCTGCTACATCAGTTACATTTTCTGTGATGAATAGAGTGAGTCGGATTTTGATCACTCTCAGTCTATGATCAATCCACCTGCACCGACATTTGATCACAATGGAAAGGAGCCGGCTAAAAGGAAAATTATCCAGGATGTGGTCATGAAGGTAAGAGTAAGCTCAGGGCCATATTAGGGTAAATTACATGATGTAGAACAGCGCAAAGTTATACTCTGTTGATGATCAAAAGAAGTGTTTGGCTTAGAGCCACCTCATGTTAAAACACCGGTTCCTGTACAATCACCGAAGTTAAGCAACGTCGAGGCTGGTCAATACCTAAATGGGTTATCGCTTGGGAAAGTCAAATAATGAAAACTTGGATGTGTGGGTGGTGTAATGGATAATGGCTCGAATTTTTAATCAGGGAACCGATTTCAGTCTCAGTTGTATTCGTTATAATCATATATTATTTGAGAAAGGCATGAATCCATCTCTTCTCTGAATTACTTTGTAAAACTTGTATCACTAGAATCATTATTATCTTCCCGTTAAAAAAATCTTACATTCTAAGAAACAAAAATAACCTGAAAAGGGTTTCTATACCTTAGAAACCGAATCAATCAATTAAAAAAGAAGGATTAAAGTGACTAATCAGTGGGGTGATTGGTTTGCCTATCACCTGCTTCACACTCCTTCCCCGTCTATTGAACAGGAATAGAAGTTTATCTCTCGTTTCATATTTAGGATTGTGTTTCCGGTTCCTTCTAAAGTTATTTTCATTCTTTTTCCCCTCCCAGTAACCCACTTGCATCTTAGTGGCCTTATCGCCTTGATTGGGATGAAATGATTATAAAAAAAGGTGTAGAGGTAGGAATGGATAGCAAAGGAGATGGTAACAATCGGTTAATTTCGAGTTATTTCACTGTTCAGTGTTTGGGAAATGAGTTTGGCAGCTTTGTTGCCAGCAGTTTAACAAACCGTCTCCTTGGGATTTACATCGACGCCGCCGTCTAGAAAGGAGTAATCTTGATAGTACCGCGCTGCCTGAAGCATATATTCGCAGCCACTCTGCTGGGAAATATCTTATTCTCTAGCCCCTTATGGTTTATAAAATCCCGATCCCAGAATCAAGGACTTTCAAAGGAGGATATATTGCTTTATGAGTGAGTGGCTGACTACCGTTAATCTATACAGATGGAACAGCTAACTGCCAATCTTCAGGATCCTGACTGAAGAATAATAGCTGAATAATACTAAAAGTTACGGTAGAGTAATGGATTGTGGTTCGGATTGAGCTAAGTTCGAACACCAGTTGAGTTCATTGCTTTTACTTACGTGTTAATATCCTTGAATAAATAGAAAGACAAACCGGCTTCTTTAGCCTTGGGAAAACTCTGAAGAAGGAAAACACTGAATTCAGTCTAAATTCTGTATGTAGCTCTGGCGAAGTACATATTATGCACTTCTGTTGCTCGATGACCATTTGTTAATGTTGTGGGTTCAGTAACACAAGTGTCAATCAGAATGGTTTGATATCGGGAAAAGATACCGTTAACCCCGTGGCTAAGATAAAATATCTCGTGAAAAAACAGCCGGAGCAACGCACCTTGATACGAAAGTTTAAGGTGAGCAACAGAAGGCTACTGATCCAGGAAGACGCGAGAATGTTGAGGAGAGAGCCAGCAGGGTAACTGAAATGTGGCAGTAACATGATGAGGACATACGTTACTGAAAGGTCCTCAGGTCAGTCCACTCCCCCAAAATCTTACTCTTTTTGAAAGGACTTCTTTTTGGGGCCGAATAAATTTCAACATCCCATCGAAAAAATAAAAAAAATATTTATATTTTTAATATCATCTCTTTGCTACAAACAAAAGGTTTAAAATAGATATATACATACATAAGTATACCAAACAATGAGTTGATGATTAATTTTACGGACACATGGCAGTAGAGAACTTGGAGAGATGAATTAACAGGAGATAACTAATAAATGACATCCAATAGACATGGCACGTGGAACTAGAACAGTCTAACCCAGTGAGCGAAATAAAGGGTTCATTTCGACATTCCAATCACCTGAAGAAGGACGGAGCGTACAACGGCCGAAACGTTGTGATAAATAAGGCAACAAAGATGAAGACAATATTTCGAATAATATAAATAGTGTACATAATACCTCATCTCAGAAATATAGATACTTACTAATTTAGATTTTTTTTTATTTTAATTCTTCCTTAATAAAATATCTACGATTGATGAGTGTGTGCTATGCTACTGATATAGAATTTCATATTTGGGATAAGAACAAACTTGGACAAAAAAAACTATAACTTTTACCTTATCTTCCCAGAAGTAGGATTAAGGAAAAACTTTTCCAAAGCAAAATCTATGATCTGGAATTGAAATGAAATTAGTGGTGGCACATGAAATCTTTCATAAAAAAATTTTAAAATGTGGAATTAATAAACTCTAATTACTTCAAATACCCCAGTGTATGAATCAGTTATAACAAATTTAGTATAGGAGATGAGGAAATTAGACATAGGACAGGTTGCGCTGAGGTTAGGCTTGTCCAACACTGCATAATGCTAGACAAACTATTAACCTACGAACTCGATTCCTGCTCTAAAGTAGCCTCCTTAGATCAAGACTTTCATATGGAGGTCATGCATTTTAGCCAACTCGTTCAGAATCGTCTAAACTATAAGTTATAGACAACCTTTTTCTTTGGTCAGTGATTAAAAATAGCGTCCAGCAAATGTATCCTCTCGGATATAAAGAAGATGCTCTATCATCAAACCTTGTAAACTGGCTTTACAGGATCACAAACAATGAACTTTACCAAATACCAAAAAAAAAAAAAAAGAACACATCAATTGAAACCTCTCAGCTGCTAGACCAACTAAAATGGCTATCTCATATAGCTAGAAGGGAAAATAATGTTATAATCTTGATGTTATGTTTCCATCGTAACTGAAACAAAAGTTTAGTAAGAAAACTCCCATCAATGCTATAAACAGCGATAGCAGTTACTGGACATGAGAAATTTTCTTTCCTGAAATGCTCTTTTAAGAAAAAGATTTTATAAATTTTAACCGACAGTAACGCTAACTATTCGGTCAATAAGTGCGTAATGTTTACTATGTGGAAACGTTTAACTTGTCATTAACATTATCATTCAATAAAAGTAACAAAATGATAGTTAAGTTTCGTTTTGTTGGTTTTGTTTTCATTGGTCGAAAATCTGTCCCTTTACAAAGAGTTTTCATTGATAATAGGCTCTACGTATTTATAACCTCTAGCAAAGTCACTTTCAGCGTTCCCTCCTGACGCCAAAGACCGCTACTGGCGCCTCTGGTAGTATCAGCAAAACATAGCTTGCTCATACGCCCCACTAACTACCAGCGAATATTTAAGGTGTATTAAGTGAACGCATTATAAAGCAATTTGACGGCAACAATGCTCAATTAATGACAACGCATTAGACAGTAGAAGAAGCAGTGGCACGGTTTAACGTCGTCCAGCTTATTGGACTGGCGACTAGTTGGGTTGTAGCAAAGTAATGAGGACAAAGCTGGTCATTGGTCATCGGATTGTGGATTAGTCGGCCACAGCCGTCTTCCAAATCGTGTGGAAGGGCAAATGCGTTCGACCCCATGACCGTGCGATTGACATTAATTATTACTAAAGTTGCCGATGGTCAGCTTCTTTCTGCGTCTTATCCTTACGTCCGGACGACTGTGGTCAGTTGAAGTGAGCCAAGCCACGTCACGATTCGAGGATAAACAGAAAGAAAATTGTCGGACAGGGGAGAAAACTGACGGTTATATTTGGAAACAGATAAAAGCAACTATAAAATACAAAGTGTTTAAGGCGTATGAACAGAGTTGATGATTAATTGCACGTAACCGTAGAGTTACGACATTAGCAGAATCACCCAGTGGTAAAACAGTGGTAAAATAACGGTATGTTGCCATCGGTTTTCATCTCTCATAAAGTTTATGCCACTTTTAATCACATGTTTTATTTCTTACCCGTTTATTCTGCTTGATATTTACGGGATCGTGTGGGTCATTGCAACTAAATGGTTCACTGAGTCGCTAAAATCTATCTTACACATTTATTAGTCTACCATCCATCCGCGTACTTAATATTTCTGCTACATCTGGTCAGATGCTTAATGTATTTAAAGATCCTTGATAAAATCCAAAGAAGAATCTGCAATGTTATCAGTCCTGACCGAGTATATCGGCTTCAGTCACTTTTCCCACTGTCGTAATATAGCTTCATTGTGCTTTATCTATAAATATTTTCATAATAATTGTTCTGATGTGCTTTCCTCTTTCGGCCTAGAATTTAAGTGCAGTTCTAGATTGACAAGTAGGTCTCATCTTTTACAGTTGAAATGACTGGATGCTACCATCGACTGTAAGCTAACATTTGCTTCTCTCACACTTCTCTCTTCCGGTCTTTTGCTTTCCAGCCAACTTTACCTAAAAATTGTTATTGATTTATTTTATTTTTACTGAGTGTTCACATAAAATAAAACTCGAAAGACACTCAATTTCAGAGGTTGTTGTGTGGGCGTAGAAGTAGAAAGTGGGCGCCGATGTGTAGTTGACCCGACACTTGAATAGTTTAAAATGAACGCCTTGGCCAAACTGGTAGTGGCACGTTTCGGCTATAAAAGGGATTTCCATGATTGAAGAAAGGTATCAAGTTATGTGCCATGCAGGCTAGACGCTTAGGCGGTCATGTATCGAAAGATACATGACTGACGAGGCATAGTTTTTTCCCGCAGTAGGTTGCCATTTCTTTCTGCGTTAGACCAGTTGCCATCCAAGGATATAGAACCCAGACTGTCCTGCTATTTACCCATAGCTGGGGGGAATAAGAAGAGGATTCATAACTTTCCCAGTGGTAATGGATTCGAATGGATGTCGAATTCGGTTCTGCCATTCTTCAATCCGAGCCACTATTCATTATTCCACCGTGCCTATAGTATATAGGTATACAGTTTCGATTATTGACGAAAGGTACGATTTTTCGTTAGTAGGCCTTCTCGATCTAAGCGGGTTGTTATTAATTTTATTGTTTAAGAAAATAACTAAAAAAAAAAAAACTGGGATAGCAACTTAAACACGGGTACCCACTTAAAATAACGTTTAGGGTAACAGAAATAGCATTATTAATATAGAAAATACGCTCTTGCTATACTAAAGTATACAAATGTTTTTCGACACGTAGTTCACGTCCAGCAGGATTAAATAATTGTGGTTATCCCTGAATTTTGAAGTGTATAACTTAGTGGTCAGTGTGAGTTGTTGGTGATTATTCCAGTACATGCTCTTATATCTGATTGGTCTTATCTGTTGGATGACACAACCCAGATATGTTGTTGCGCAGTTTAAGGAAAGTAAGAAAATCGCCATTTCCAAAATGCCTGTTTTTTGCTGAGCTTGCATTTTTATTGTACAACAAAGAAAATAGTAAGAAACTATGAACGATTTCTAGTTTCTAAAAGTAAAAATATTTCAGAAAAACGAACACCTTTACGTCGATATTAAGTAATAATGTAATGGAAATGGACAAGTTGTTATTTGAAATTGAATACAATAAAATGTTTATAATCTAAGATAAAATAATGTAGTACAGTGAAACGACCAGATGAAATACCCACAACAAAATCTTACATATATATATATATATATATATATATATATATATATATATATATATACGTAAAATGTATATATATATATATATATATATATATATATATATATATATAATATAATTTTTTATGTATATTATTTATATATAATATATGCGCGGTACTGATTGGAAAGCACTCAATATCAGTGATAGAGCTAACATATTTAGTTGGATTGATGTGAGTTTATGACCCTGGGTTTCACGCGATCTGCGATCGTCAGACAAACTGATTAATTTTTGGGGATTTTTAGATTTTTTATGGTTGCGTATATTGGTGTTTTATAGTAGTGGGAAGAAAAAAAAACAAAACAAAACAAAAAAAAACAGACGACATGCGTTGAACGGTTGTCAAAATTCTGTGAAAAATGCACCCGTACCCTCCCTAAACTTAAACTCTTTTTCGAACGTAACTCATAATTGATACAATAATAGTTAATAAAAATGAACACGCTACCGGGGTGGTAACGTGTTTACCACCCCGGTAAACACATTGTCTGAATGATTGGATTGCTCTGTATCCTTGGAAACGAAAAATTATGAATTGTATGTGCGTTTAAAACTCACTAAATTTAAAAATAAGTTATTCCAAAATTCACTTGTAGATGAAACAGAAATAATGATTTTAATTTAATTATATAATTAATTTTAAGATTTAGGTTCGGTTTTTGAAACATAGTAATTCCGGTGAAGCAAAGAGACCCTATTTCAAATCAGTTAATTTATTATATATATATATATATATATATATATATATATAAAGTACATGAAAGGTGAATGATCAGACTTGAATCAGACCAGGGAACAGTAATATTAAAAAGTGCTCAATATACGTGTTAAAAAAAATGTAAAAATAACGTGTAGAGCTTTAAACTTTAAAAATCAGGAGGTCAAATAAAAATATGCGACCTTGGTTTCGACCTGACGGTTCCTTCGGGCGAATAGAGAACGTCAGGTCGAAACCAAAGTATCGTATTTTAAGTATTTATATATATATATATATATATATATATATATATATAAGCATGGTTGTGTGATGATGATAAAGTTCTTGGTACGATCAAGAAACCGCTGCAAAACTTCTCGTTTGGTCATTTGATTTTATTTAGAAAATTAGGTCTAAGTGTATTTGTGCACTGGTTTGTGCGTATGTGTGTTGTTTAACACTTGCTCTATTTATAGCGGAATATTACTCAATATCGAAGATACAGCGTTTAAATATTTTCAGTGCTGACATAGAATTTAATATTGCATGGTGATCGTCAGTTTCACGCTTCAATTTCATCTTCAAATAAAGTGTCGTTACTGCTTTTGCTTGGTCTGAAGAATGCTTATGTCATGAGAGTGACAATCACCATGTCGTGTTGATTCTTATATCCACAGTCGATATCTGTATGTATCTATTTGCATGCGTGTGTGTGTTTAGTATATTCTCTATTCGAAAGTGACCCTTCCATTCATATAATCGCACCAATTCTCTATCTAGAAAAACAATTAGGTTTTACTGGCACATTCTGAGCCAAGTATTAGTTGTAAGAGTGGATCGTATAAATATATGCTATTTGATTGCATACTTCAGTATTTGCATCTAAAAATATAGTTATAGCTTTATATTTTTGTATCGCGTTCGGATCACCTTTATTTTCATTGATACGTACGTTTGCATTGATGCATGTATTAATTTTATGCAAATACACGCGTGTCTCGTGTATTCTCGAATATACTCGTTTACTTCAATGTGTACTAGAATATTGTCAGCAAATAGTTGGACGTCTTCATTGCACACATATTATTTATAGGATATTTTCTTAAACAGCCGTATTAACTTTGGGCGTGTATCTGCTTCAATAATCATTTATGGTTATTGAATCCTGAAAACATTACAAGAAAGACGTAGTTGAATATAGGAAAAAGTCACCGAAGTGTCATGTGTACGAAGATTTCCTTCATGCGTGAATCACTAAACACGCATAAGCTCCTGCACTTTTTTTTTTTTGTTACCAAATGCCTAAATCGAAAACTTTTATGTAGAGATTCTATTTCGTGGCCTCGTTTTGGTTTTGCTAGTTCATTTGGAAAACAAGGAACGTACTTTCTGTCTGAGTCTTCTTCTGCGTTTGCACTTCATATAAATGCTTTGAAACTAACTCATTGTTGCTTAAAGTTGATCGCCAGACGCCTAGATTAACTGTGAAAGCTGTAGAAGAGTTGAATGCTGAAGATAGCATTGAAGAGAAAAATACAATGATTAAAAAGTAGAAGGATCGTTTGCTCGTATTCCCTATTTATTGTTCTTTTTTGTGTATGTGTTTTATCATTCCATTTTGTTTTTCTGAACGGATTAATATTTTTATGGCATTCTTCCTTTTAATACCTTTTATTATTTTCACAATTTCATTCATCGAAGCTTATATTCATTTTGATTCTTTTTCATCCGGTTTACTCATCTTTCCCTTTCTTTCTTTTTTCTTTCTTTCTTCAACATTTTACATATTTTGTTTATCCTGCATGAATTTAACTATTTAATCATTCAATTTTTACCTTTATTCAGTTTTGATTTTATTTATTTTAATTTTTTCCATGGATTATTCTCACAAGAATTTAAAACGGCTTCTTTAATCCGATGTAAATGCGACTCATATACCAAGTCATTGGTACCCAGTTTATTTTTCAATGAGATTTCCACACGTATGATATAGTGAGTTTTAACTTATCCAACAAATATAACTTCTAATTGCATTTTTCTTATGTATAGAAAGCATTTATATTTAGACTTTCTATAATTCCTTTAATTACTTTAAAGTTCAGTTTCAATTTCAAGCGGAATTGTCGATGACAGCGCGCCAGAAATGAGATGTGTCACTAATACACCAAACATTTATCAAAATATGACTTCCAGAAACTAAACAAACTATTAAAAATATAGGAAATTTCATTGAAAATAAAGATAAGACTGCGCCACTGTTGTATAGGGCAATAGATAATGAACAATTAAGAAAAGACTAAATATAACAATGGTAACAATCAGAAAGAGACTGCTGAAATTTCAAAGATATATGATAGAGAAAGATACCTTAGTAATTCGATTCTCAGAGGACATACGGAATACAAAACGAGCAGAAGGAAATAATTCCTTCAGAACATGGACGATTATGTCTCCTTGCAAAATTGCATCATTCTTAAATTATTATTCTTGTATGAGTAAACACTTGTTCCCATGCGATCACCGAAGTTAAGCAACGTCGAACCTGGTCAGAAACTAGATGGCTGATCGTTTGAGAATACCAGGTGTTGTAAGCTTGGATGTGCTGGTGGTGCAACGGATAATGGTTCGGAATTGTTAAACGGAGAGCCCAGTTTCAATTTCCGTTGGGTTCGTTATATTAACTTATGCGCAAATACCCTTGGGAAAGCTATGGATCCACATCTCCCGACCTATGGGTTAATTAGCCAGACGTATATCATTAGACCATTATTATCGAAAAGAAAAAATTATAAAAAAGCTGAAATTTTCTCTGACTTTAAATAACCTGCAAATAATTGATAAACCGGAGAAAACGAATCAGTTAATCAATCTTCTGTGCTATGTCCCTTAAGGAGTTTGGCAATTATGTCTCCTTGCAAGACTGCATCTTTCGTAGCTCTAAGAAAATTTTGGATTTTGAATGATGACCTGAGTATACTTCTTCTTCTTCTTCTTCTTCTTCTTCTTCTTCTTCTTCTTCTTCTTCTTCTTCTTATGTGCTGTGCTCCTTAAGGACGTAGATGGTCTGCGCCTCAGTTTTCAGTCTTTATTCATATTTCCTTTTACAGATATAATTTAACTGAAATCTTTACACACACACACACACACACTCTCTCTCTCTCTCTCTCACACACACACACACACACGCACACACACACATATATATATTTCGGGAGAAAGAGAAATAGATGTAGAAATTATTTAAATAAACATATACGATCAGCCATATATGTGAGCGATTGCGTACACATACAGAAGAGCAAATAACTATTTAATCAATAGTGTAAACAAAACAGTACTCAAAGTAATTAAACAGAGGTATAAATTATATATTAATAATTACACATATAACTACGCCTACAGTACAGCACAGACTTTCATGGCTTTCCCAATCATCAGGTACAAAATGTTACAAGCTTTTCAATACGGTTGTTAAAAAAAACAACTGTATTGAACTGTTTGTAACTTTTTGTACTTGATGATTGCGAATGCCATGAAACTCTGAGCCGTACTGTAAACATGGGTATATGCGTAATTACTAATATATATATATATATATATATATATATATATATATATATATATATATTAACAATTAATGACAGAAATCTCAGTCAGTATCTCCTCGTTGCTTTGCGATTAAATCACTTGCATATTTACCAGGAATAAAATCCTGACAAAAGGGAAATGATTTCAAATCTCATCGAGAGATTATCTATCATTTTCGGGTTGTCTACTCATACTCGTATATTGACGGCTTTAGTAAAGTTGCGATAAAGATAAAAACTTATGAAAATAGATACTAATCAAAATTAAAAATAACGTTTTAGTCAATCTCTTGTATTCAGAGTTTGTTTCCTCATTTAAGCATGTAATGCGCCTCAGAAAGAAAACTGTCTCCATACTTTGAGCGTAACGGCATTCTGGATATTTCGGAAACATAAGAAAAGATAAAATAGGATTATCGGTGAATCTTGGCAATCAGCCAAGGATATTTTTTAGTTTTTTTTTTCTGATGTCACACATATTTTAATATCGAACTGGAAAACATTTTTATGTGCTTCGATTGATAGTATTTCAAGTGCGCATCATGCTCGAGCGATTAGGCTCAGATCAGAAAAGCAACATTTGATTTTTCTCGATAACAATATTATACATGCCTAAGATAGAAGAACAAGGTGTATTTGAACAAAATATCATATTAGATGCAACAACGAGCTCGTGGATAAATGCAAGGATATAGAATTAATATAGACATTTACATGCGTGCACGCACACACATACACGCACATATAGACACATAATTATGTGTAGATGTCTTTGTGTATGTGTGTGTATTTACAAAACATCACTAAAGTATTGGATGAATCTTTCCATGAAATTCGGTGTATGGCGTCAACATAGATAACTATTTATTATTATCCATTTTATATATATATATATATATATATATATATATATATATATATATATATATATATATACCGTAATGTCCTCCGGTACGAGGCGCGGGAGCTACTTGAGGTAGAGGGTTACGCTATGAGGCAATTTTATTCGGATGAGAAGAGAAGAAAACTGTTAACTCTAGACGTAGTTAATATTTTAGTGATAGGTAAAACATTCTTTTCGAAGTCGGTTCCACAGCGCAATTGTCCGTGGGAAGAAGCTGGTACAATGGAACTTACTTCTTGGGCATGAAATATAGGCTGGTTGCTACAATGTAAGTGACATGGGATTGACTATTGCCATGAAATTCGTATTCCTCTGAAGAAGTGTTGGTCGAAAAAGGGTCCTTTAAAGAATGAGATTTTGGTATATTTTTGGTATATATATATATATATATATATATATATATATATATATATATATATGTGTGTGTGTGTGTGTGTGTGTGTGTGTGTGTGTATGTATGTATATATATATATATATATATATATATATATATATATATATATATATATATATATACGCAATAATAGGATAAATGATGAGTTGTATAATAAAATTTCACACCATTCATTAAGTTATGGCAATATATATTTAATAAAATAAAATATAAATATCTGACGATCCCATGTCATATTTTTCACATAAATATAATATTCCAGAAATGCATATTTTTTATGGCTAAATTATGAAGTTAGTATTTCTATCTATGTATGGCTAGCAAGATTACGAATCATTACTCGTATATATATATATATATATATATATATATATATTGAGTATATCACTGTTTTTAGCCCTGCAGACAGCTCGACTAAGCCTAATAAAAATAAACACATATACTCATACATATCGAAAAATCGAAGTCGAAGATTATGTTAATGTCCCGGGTGCGATGAGAATAGGCATCGAAATCTTACGATGACACAAATTATGGAATCCGTCGCTCATTACTCAGATAAACATTATATGTAACTATATTTTTATATGTCCTTGTATGTCTTTATATTTGTATATGATTACAATATATATATATATATATATATATATATATATATATATATATATATATATATATATCAGTATTTAAATTATGCAACGATGAGTCATAGCGCCTGAAAATCATTGAGGAAAAAATATATATTAATTACTAATATAAATAATTGCTCTGTTATTATACATTGAATACTTCCATTTGCACCAACACTCAATGTGTGATACTATATATATGTGGTGGTGGGAATGTCATGGTCTGGGGCTGCATGAGTGCTGCAGATATTGGAGAGTTACATTTCATTGAGGGAAACATGAACTCCAACATGTGAAATACTGCAGCAGAGCATGATCCCCTCCCTCCAAAAACTGGGTCGCAGAGCAGTGTTCCAGCATGACAATGACCCCAAACACACATCCAAGACAACCACTGCTTTACTGAAGAGGCTGAGGGTAAAGGTGATGGACTGGCCAAGCATGTCCCCAGACTTGAACCGAATAGAACATCTTTGGGCCATCCTCAAGCAGAAGGTGGAGGTGCGCAGAGTCTCAAATATCCGCCAGCTCCGTGACGTCGTCATTGAGGAGTGGAAGAGCATTCCAGCGACTATCTGTGAAGCTCTGGTAAGCTCCATGCCCAGGAGAGTAAAGGCAGTTTTGGATAATGATGGTGGCCACACAAAATATTGACAATTGACATGTTGTATGTTAATATTGACAACTTTTCCTAAGGGGTGTACTCACTTTTGTTGCCAGGGATTTAGATTTTAATGGCTATATTTTGAGTTATTTTGAGGGAAAAATAAATTAACTCTGTTATATATGCTGCAGACAGGCTTGTTTTCATTGTGTCAAATTGTCATTTTGTCAGTGTTATCCCATGAAGAGATATACTTAAATATTTGAAAAAATGTGAGCGGTGTACTCACTTTTGTGATACTATATATATATATATATATATATATATATATATATATATAATATATATATACATATGAACGAAGAACGAAGGATACTGGGAATTTAATTATTTTTCTTATATAGTAACCTAAATTTTTCTTCTTGGACTTAGAGTAAATGCTCCAAGAAGAAACATTTGGGTTACTACTACACAAAAAAAGACAATAGTTAAACATCGAAAAATATGAGGAAAATTAATTTCTTTTAATGATATATGGAAATATCCAATGTTTGCCTCTTAAAGGTCACGAGGCCGGAAACGCGTGTAGCAAAAATATGGAAAATAAAGTATAATATATATTTTGAAAAATCCACAGTATAAACAAAAACGTTTGCTGCTTCTCTCATCTTTTTTAAAATATACAATTTAACCTTTTTGTTAGAACAATATATAATATATATATATATATATATATATATATATATATATATATATATATATATATATATACTTATTGATATTCATTTCATAATTTCAGTTATTTATTGAATGCCAGGGAAAATAACAGTGAAAGTTTACAGAAGGATCAGAAAATAAGTGGAAAAAAAAAACAAGAAGAAAAAAATGTACCCGGATAGATTTTTATATTATTTATGCAACAGGAAATCGAAAACAAAGTTTAAGTAATGTTTTGGGCATTTATTGTGTTGCAAAATTATAGAGCCATTCTCTGATGTCAATGCCGTAAATTATGCAAAAGCTATAGTGTACGTGACAATAAAAAAAGCAATTTATATTCATGCAAAACAGTTGTCCTTTATATTCTTACAAGCACACTCTAGCCCACCTTGCACGAAATGTTTTCAAAGACACCAAAATATTGAAATAACCCCTATCCTCTTGAGATATTAACCCGATAAAAAACTTATTATCCTTCATTTAAAAAAATATGTGTGTAAGAATGTTAAACAATATTTAAGTAAATATCATCATCTTCTTCTTCAATGTGGTGTATCCCTTTAGGACGTTGGCGAACATGGGTCTCCATGATTTCCTGTCCTTTGTAGCGCTTAATATATTTTGTTTTGCCTTTTTTTTTATCTCCCCGAAACTCTGTTCTGCCACTCATTTACACAAGCTCGCTCAATAGGTTATGCGTTGTTGTCTTTCTTGACTTCCTTTTATCCTGTGAGTATCAAATTCTCCAAACCTT